CATGAAACAAACTGAAAGCTAAAACTGCATGGTTGGAAATGCTGTACATCGCGTACATTGCGCCTCTTTCTTTTATGTTTTAAAGTGCGCGTGTGCAGCATTTCTGCAGTCAAGACGGAGTGCTCCATGAATCGTCTATGGGGCGTCTGTCACTGCATGGGCCCGGCAAATAGCAAAAAGCAGAGCTGGAACTCATGGCTCTTTGGAAATGCAAATAAAGCAATGCCAGCGGTTCGCCATGCAATGTGCTCACATTAGGCCAAGCAATAGGTCTCCATGGTCGCAATTGAAACGAGCCCAGAACCGTACATCACATGAAACAAACTGAAAGCTAAAACTGCATGGTTGGAAATGCTGTACATCGCGTACATTGTGCCTCTTGCTTTTATGTTTTAAAGTGCGCGTGTGCAGCATTTCTGCAGTCAAGACTGAGTGCTCCATGAATCGTCTATGGAGCGCCTGCCACTCCACTGGAAACTGAAACTGCGTGACTGGGAATGCTGCGTCTGGCTCCTTCAATTTTAACGTGCATGCAGCATTTTGGCAATGAAGTCCATATCTTCCATCTTAAGCAGGCAGCCAGTGTGTTCGGCCTGCGTGCAACGTGAAAAGACGGTAACTATGTCCACCATGCCCACCGTACGCATTCCGCGGGAATACTTGTTACGTCCAGCGAGTTTGCAGTTTGGTCCAAAGTGCATAAGCTGGCACGTTAAATCGAAAGCGCAGTACTTCTTGCGCGTCTGACTAATTAATCGTCTTTGGAGTTCGTGTCATTGCACATTCATCGTGCTCCGTAACGTACAGGCTGGGCGAGCCCTATAGGAACTGTTCTTTGAACTACGTAGTGAGTCTTGCTACACAAAGCCTCTTGCCTGCCTCGTTCAATAGCAGCGCGTTGCACACATGAATTAAATTATCCTTTTTCGCCCAGCACGGATTTGCGTGATGCGGCTTGAAAATAAAACGACGAATCATTATTAAACCCACTCTACTCTTGAAAGTGAATCCTCAGTTGCACAGAGCACCAAAATGCTCGTTAATGATACCCGTGAGCCCACAAATTAGTTTGTGTTCGCTCTGAATGCATTGCGTTTTTAGCCGCGATAAGCGTGTTGCAGTCTTTAGAGGTGTACTACGCCTATTAAAGTCTTACTCTGATTTAGCATAGGTTGGCCGAGCAGAGCGTGGAACTTTGCACGGTCTGCAGCGACCCGAAATTTGAATGGTGTATAATTTACACTGTGAGGTGCAACGCTCTATAGCAGCACTTACTCCGAGCGCGAGCAGACGCCACCAGCATTGTACGCTGCAAATGTAGCCAAAGGCTGCCGATGAAAAGCTGAATATATTTATATACATATACGCGAATACAGATATGCACAATATATACAATATAGGTACGCACGGACATAGATTACATTTATGTACATACATATGAATTGTCAAAAAGTTATATACAATTGCCCATTATAGGTATTTGTGTATATATAATAATAATAATGGATTATACTTACGTCTACCAACAGGATAGCATGGATATTCCTGTAGGCAGCATATCTAAGGCGATTTTTGCCTTAATGCTAAGCTCTCTCTGTGGACTTCTTTCAGTGATTCTTGTAGAGCTGCGTGGAAAGGCTGCTCTAACTGCACGTCACAAGTAGCCAGCAGCCTGCAGTCAAATTGTCGTGGCTGCAGCTGAGCGCCATTCAACAGTTACGTTACTCGCTACAGAGCAATAGAACAATCTTATGCATGCACGCTGGACAACTGAACCAAATGCTATGCTCAGCAGCGCTTGCTATCGAAGGCTCGCACGGGAGTGCGCTTGTTCATGGGCGCAGGTGTAACGCAAAACTTTTGAAACCGCGCTGAAGCAGATTGCATGAAGAAGCACATTATCTTCAAATTGGTTACATGCGATCACCTTGCTCCAGGCCGGGAAATGCATATCCAATATTAGTATACAGTGCTAACGAACACATTCAGGCCTCATCCCACGAATGTGTATCTTTCAATACCGTAAAACTAAGCGCAAGACTGGAATTTCGGCGTTTAGGAATGAGATCAATTCTTCGCAATGCCAGCCGACTGCTGGTCCAGCAGTGTCGTGTAGTCCGTCAATTAGCCGCGAAAAGCCGTATAAAGTTAACGCACGACTTCGAAATTCAAATACAGATGGGTAGTCCTCCTTTAGTGGTGATTCTCACGCGTAGAAAACCGACACAACATTTGGACTAAAGCTTGAAAAAGGACACCAAATGCACATACTGCAAGCAAGGCTTGACGGTGCATTGTTACTGAGTATGGCATAAAAGAGCTCCCAGAAATTCTTCTCCATTTTCCCGTGTTTAGAGAGTTGCAGTATAGTGTCCGGAAAAGACTAGAAACGCACGTTCTACATGTGGCGAAGGAAAGTTATTCTCACTATCGGCGCCCCAAACCGCTATAAAACAGCAGTTATTTTCAACCGCTCGAACGAGCCAGCTGTCCCATGGCCGGTTTAAAAGCCACAGTGGGTGCGGTTGCGTAGCCCTGCTTATGAAGCTGGGCTGCCCTACTCAACACGAAGCAACAGAGATTCTCAGACGTCGCATGTTTTAGAGACGTCCCAACTAGCTAAAACGCTTGACCTGCTGTGCTTTTAAGCATTGTCAAAGACATGGCCTCTTCAGAAGGTACGGACTCGCTTCAAGGTCAAATTCGCATTCAAAGCAACATAGAGAACGAGTTCCACTCACCCCACCTGGAAACAATTAAATATGCACTTGTATGTAAGAAATTTTATCTCTGCTTTGCCGTTGACGCAAAAGAGTGCTAGCAAAGTGCCCGACCAGCCGTAGTTCAAATGTTCAACTGTAGGTTCATGTATCACTCCAACAACTCGCCGCATCCTATCATGATGTCACAATTCCATCAAAAACTTTGTACACTATGGGTTTCACAGTCGCCGAAATCATGGGTGAACGACTACAAGGCACTAGACTTTCTCCTACAGAAGAGGTCCTGTTCAAAATGAAAGAACTCAGCACTGGAGCGCTCGTCCCGTAAGTAGCACCTGCCATTGGCTGATGCTGGACCGACAAATTCTCGTAATTACCGCAACACTGAACAACTTGAGATGCTGGAATTCTAGCAGCATGCATGCGGAGACACAGCATGGGCAGGCTTTTTACAGCACAAGAGGAGCAGCTCTGAAGTCGCAGAAGGCGCAACTGGATGCATACGTTGAATACGTCGAGGTGGGCATAAACGCATTCCTCTCCTGAAGGTCAAAGAACAAATGTACGGTTCCAAAGAAGGCACAAAGGCTACGCAGTGCAGGACAAACGCAGACAGAACTTGGCATAGCCGGGTTTCCGTCACAACTTGGCATTGTTCCCGTACCTTCTGATTAACTCAAACAAGGCGGCCATTCCGCAGTTTTTCATACAGAAGTACCAAGCCCTAGGTTTCCATCTGCCAAAGGCCACTACCTCGCAGATTTACTGGCGTGGTTCCGTAGAACCTGGAGAGAAAGATGAATGCGGCGGGACCGCCGACAGATGCGCAAGCTTACGATCAAGTGGTTATCTTCTTGAGACAGCTGCAAAGTAGCACGGTAAGCCGCCCTACCATGCAGTATATGCTAGCCGGCATGCCTCTTCTGCGCTGATTACCAGACTCACAGAGTTTGAGCCCCCGTTGCCCATAGCGAGCCGCCGCGCTAGCAAACTGTAATTATCCCCGCCGTTCTGAGCCTCAATTGACTTGTAGCAAAGCATCATAGCAAATACCACGGCAAAAACAGCTGTTAGGATGGAAAGCATCATGAGGTGAGAAGCGCGATGCCGGCGCCCACCAACATATTTGGTGGTGTCCCTGAGCTGAGCAGCTGCCTCATCACTTGTGGGAAAGTCGATTGAGTATGAAAGGACTGCGGCCTCAACTTTTTGGAAAATTTTCACTCCAATTGCCCCTAGTGACGCACAGAAGGCGAACAGTTGTCGAGAGCATAGCTTTTTCAACGTGGACGCTAGCATTGTGGGCGCAACTTTGCACTTGCATTCCCTTTAAAAGTAAGAATTCATGCTGAAGTATCTTCGTCAAGTTTCTGCAGTGGCTGAAACAGATTTGTTCTCCTGCTGATGAAGCGCATGTCAGCCGAACACCTGTACGGCGCTGAGGTGAGCGGGCAACAGATTAGGCAGCCCAGACACGTTTCCGATTGTGAGTTTGCGTAGTTAATGCTGGCGTGCATTGTATCACTTACGTGTTTTAAGGTGTTATTCGATCAAACGACAAAGATTTTCTCCAGGCCATGGTCGTTTCGCCACAGTTGGCCGTAATTCCATTTCGCGTCCCACGGAGAAACGTTAGGGAGTAGCGTGGCTTCGCAGATGAGCCAATGCAGAAAAGTGTCCTTCCGTTACACTGTAACTGGTTTAACTTGCAGAAGAAAAGTAGACAATAAAATTGCTACAGATGTATTCAACGCGCTGAATGGCAATGATGGCGCAATGCCACTAGCCTGGGTGCACAATGCATTTCTTGATAGCCTCTGAAGCGACGGATTCTCCGAAAGCCCAAAGCAGGATATTGAAATTGTTCTGTTGAATATTTTTTAACACGTTTTCATGCATGTACCCACTGCAGTGCTTCCTGAGTAGGTATAGCATGACACGGTTGGGCAGGCACTGACGACCCACAGTCAGGAAGTGACCAATTGAGGAGGCAAGCTTCGCAGTGCGCTCACATTGTTGACAGCAAATACTGAAAAAAACAACCAGATAGTGCTGGAAACACGTTATCATGTTCCCTTTTTACTGAACTTTGCATCGAGCAGCAGTACTTGGTGCTCGTTGCCATCTGTGGGACGCTCTGAACACTCCTCGAAGGAAAGCCTCTTCTGACCATTTCATAGCAGCTAACTGTGCAATACTCATAAACATATGATTGTTTTGCTTGTGGAGCTAACAGTTCGGAAGGCGTTATGCTCTGGATTGATTGGCTGAGGCAGACTGTGGCGTCGCGCTGCTGTAATGAACAATGCATACGTAATAGGCCTTCACGTGGCCTCCCGGCTCAGAGTAACAAGATAAGTCCACATGATTGTAGTTATGGAGCTGGACAGGCCTTATGAAGGGGCCTAGGCAAAGGCAGTACGCTTAGACATAGTCAAGCGCAACCCCAAGACAACTCACATACACACGGGGCGTGGGCAACTGCTGTCGAACTCACGAAGCCTTAAGGCCAAAACCGTATCACGGTCTCAAATGGAGCTCATAATGATGTTTTCTGCATGTGTATAGACTTCCTGATAGGGGAAGACTACGCATGGGATGCTCATGACAGCTCTCTCAGGAGAACTCTATGGAGATGGAACACGAGAGCCCCTGCGAGCTCTATTGGCGAGGCTAGCGCAGCTTTGCCAGAATACCAAGCCATTGTCCTAATTGAAGTAGAAGAGAGACTCATATAGGCCGTAGAGCTGAATATAATCCCAAACCAGAGCCAAAACGCTCTGGCGGCGGTGTCGTAGCTCAATGACTGCCTTCCCTGCTTCGATGAATGACAAACCAGTCTGAAAATAACATTTGTCGAATCAGTGTTGGACAAAATTCCCCGAGCTTGGTCACAGCTAATAAAGAATCATCACGGGGCGTCCTCCTCCACTATGGTAGCATAGCTGCTCCGCGAGGAAAATCGGGACTTCGCGCACAAGGAATATGAGTTCCTGCCCTTAATGCATATGAATCACCAGCAACTGGAAAGAATTCCCTCGTTGCGAATGGAAGTAAAGCAAGTCTGTAATTTGCAGAAACGCATTCCTTTGGTAGGCAGCCACGCAAAACGACAAGAATGCAGGAAGTGTCCTATATATTGACACTTAGGACTGAATATTGGATATCAAATCAATGGATTAATCTTAGTCGGAAGGAATAACAAATATCTTTTTAGGCATCTGTGACTCATTGACGACTCGGTCTGGGAGGTTTAGACGCAAAGGCAGGAGAGCAAAAAGCTTGACCACGGCAAGGCCCGGTAGGGTGAGCTTAGACTAGACTAGTCGAAGCTCTATTCTCATATTAGGTGAGAGAGGCGCCTGTCAGTCCAACCAGCGGAGGGAATTTTATACAAGATGTAGCCTGTGCTGTTGGCGTGTTGCCCAGCCCCACGGCGCTGCAAGATTTCAGGTTGTACGGGTTAGCAGAGCTGCTTGGGCGGTAAATAGTGCGAAGGTCTAGCGCTCAAGGCACAGCTCGCCGGCAGTACACCCAAGCTTGCAGGCCACGAATCCAAATAGGCAGGACGGCTTTAAAGGCAGGCACACTCTTGTCGTGGCCTATCTGCGAACTCTTGCTTGCAAAACCATAAATCCTGAACTCTGAGAAGCTGCAGCGTAGCACGGGAGCCGCACAGTGTGGCTTGGTGTGTCAAAAGCATGCACACAAAGAAAGAGCAACACGAGACAATTATAAATTCGATATTGCGAGAAATGAAGTAAACAGTGCTGCTACGGCGAGCGGGTTCAAGGATAAATTCACCAGCGCCCACTGTGAACTCTGATGACCCTGCATTCAATCCCTGTAGCAGTCCTACGCAGCGCATTTAATAATCTCACCAAAACCGCTAATTAGTGCTACCTGAAATATTTCTGAAGAATACTAAGGTCATAACAAGACAGCTTAGCTACGCATGCTGAACCAACGAAAGGAGCTCCGTCCCGTTTTCACTAGTTTATGCTGTAACAATGCGGCTGGCACTCGTATACTGAATGTTAATCCCCGAACTAAGGGCAACGGTCCTGATATACCCACGTTATTCATCAACTATTCTTTTGCCAGCTTGATTTTGCACAATAAGTATTGGTGTAAACTATGCCCAGCTGCATGTCTCTGCGTAGCTTTTAAGGTGCTGCTTGAACACTAATCGGTTTCACTTCGGCAATATTTCGTACGCTGCAACTGATATTGTGACGCTTTGATTCGACCTTTCTTCTTCTCAGTGTGAATGCCTTGACCCAAGCCTACTGCAGTGTCCACTACGCGAGGGTCATTTTCACACCTCCACAGAAATTAACAGTTGCTAAGGACCTACTGTTCAAAATAAAGCTAGAAACGTTTGCAAGACAAAAATTACACCTGGTTTTCAAAGTATTGACGCAGAAGAGAGCTTCTTTGCAAATGACTGCATGAGCTGTTCAGTTTTAGCTACTTTCCTTAACGGAACACAGACACAACATCAACCTGGACTGGAAAACAAACGCTTCAGTGCAAAAAAGACAGACTAGTACAGATTGTTGGAGGCGCAACTGGCCATTCAGCCAAGGCGGAACCATCTTTCTTTGAAACCCGTTATCCCAAGACCCGGAAGTACGAAATTTCAGGAATGGGATTAGGTTGCCATTATCTGAGAGTAAAAACCTCCGCCGTAAATTGTTTATTTCGCACACTTAACGTACGACCTTGTGCTAGTAAGAAGAGAATTTCAAGAGTCTACAACAGCCATTCAATATTTAGCGCCGAAGGTTCATTTATCGCAGAGCGATTACACGTTTGAGCTCTCTCTTAACCTTTCGTTCTATATCTCATTTTATTGCTGGTTGGTGCATGCCAGCCACGCGTAAGTGATATCCCATCAGCGGCTCTTTGTTGGTGTCAAAGGCTGTTGTCGACAGAAAACAGACGCACTTAACATTTCGATGTACGTGTGAGTTCCCGTAAACTTTTGCTGTGAACAGAGAGCAGACGCACTTACTGTTTCGATATATTTGTGAGTTCTCGGCAACTGTGTCCCGCAAAGAATAAAGTTGGATGCTCACGCCTGACCAGACATTTCATCCCGCAGCAAGTAGTTGCTAAAATCGGTCTCCTCTGGAAATGCACAAGTTTCTGTCCTACACATTTGAACCGACAGTGCAGTAGCCAGGGAACGGCAGGGAACGGCAAAAGTGAATCAAACTGAACTAACGAATTAAAGTACACCCACATACAACAAGCCCGTAACCCAGTACTGGAGCACTCCGCTACGGAGATACTGCTGCATAGTTGAACATCCCATAAAAAAGTGTCTTCTACAGTCCTGCCGTGTTAGTGTGGCGAGGCTTGAAATTTATATGTAAAACTGTAGGTGGCTTTGTCGTTGTCACTCAGCAGGCTGCTCTAGCACTCAGCGTTCCCACAATATTTACAGTCCTGCATGAAAACTGTTACAAACAAGTGGAGTAATTGTTACAATGGGCTTTGAGGCAACTAGGGCAAATGGGGAATACTGAAAAAAATCGAGCCATTGAGCTAGGTGCTCGTCGCATAAGCCATCATTATCCAATGAGAAGGCATCGTGTTGAGATCTGGCCACTGCAGCCAGACAATGCAATATGTGGTTTGCACGAAATTTCGTGCTCAGCAAAATTTTCGAAAAACGTTGGTCTATGAAGGCTATGCAAGATACACAATTCGAAACCTTGTTTGCCGAGAAACACTTCCTAGGCCGTTGTGCATTTTGTCAAAATCGTGCAGTACTCAAGAGCACTGGCAGTCGAAGAGCCATGCGCGTTGCAGCGTCACGTTCATCTGCGGCGCACATCCTGAAAGCAGGTCAAGCCTCGGTCTGCTCATCTCCTCCGCATCCTAACAGCTCGCGTAAATGGGTTACACCCGCATGCAAAATCCGCACACGGTGAGCTGAAGCAAACCGCTCTGCACGCCCGTGTTGGGCCTGCATAAGCATTTGCATTTGGCCGCGAAAAGTCAAATTACATTCCGCTCACACTACTACTACACCTGCGGCGCAAACAGCTTCCAAAGGGGACAGCCAGAAGACCGCCTCAGTGACTGGCCCAAGCACCAACTGCACAGATATACCACTTTGCAGACAATCACCATATGCAGAATGTATACGCATACACACATAAATAATTATGTATATATATCTGCGACTGCACGGAGCATTTCCTCTCCGTACACGCAGCACTGCAGTGCAAGTGAACGCGGGAGAGCGCTGGCTTATCAGCCCTGCGTTTGCTGAGGGCACTGAACTG